GATCAAATGAGATCTTTTATAATGTGTTCATCGGGAACGACAGGTTTACCCAAAGGTGTTTTGCAATCTCATACAAATACTTTACATATTATGTCCCTTTTCAGGTACATTATATTTTTATACTAGTAAAGTGAAGAAAATATATATAGGTTATGTTTTTGTTTTAGAGATCCCAGATATGCTAGGATAGATGAAAAAGATACAGTTTTAGGCATAATGCCTTTTTTTCATGCTTTTGGACTACACGTAGGTCTATTTAATACTCTAAAAGGTAGTACGTTGGTTTTACTAAAACACTTTCAAGACGACTTGTTTCTAAAAACCATACAAGACTACAATGTGACCACCGTGTTTTTGGCACCACCACTGGCAGTATTTTTAGCCAAAAGCCCTAAAGTTAAAAACTATGATTTATCTTCAATCACAAAGCTATCTTCCGGAGGTGCGCCTTTGAAAAAATCTATTGAAAACGAGTTAATAAAGCTGTTTAAATTGGATGGTATGAAACAATCTTATGGCATGACGGAGACCACTTTAAATTCGACAGCTTTTAAAAAAGACGAATTTAAAGAAGGGTCTGTTGGTAAACTTATACCTCTATTAACAGCTGTAATAAGGAATCCAGATACCGGGGAATCTCTTGGAGCTCACAAAGTTGGAGAAATATGCCTTAAAGGTCTTATATCTTCATACATAACATATAAGCAACATAACTTTAATAATAGTGATATTTTAGGGCCTAATATAATGTTGGGGTATTACAACAACGAAAAGGCTACAAAGGAAGCCTTTACGTCGGATGGTTACCTTAAAACGGGTGATTTGGGTTACTATGATGATGAAGGATTCTTCTTTATAGTTGATAGACTCAAGGAGCTCATCAAATACAAAGGTTATCAGGTAGTAACAGACAAAACAAATATAATATATTATATAGTAATAAGTGAAGCAAAATTAACATATTTCTTTGTTAGGTTGCCCCGGCGGAATTGGAGGAAATATTATTAAACCACCCCAAAATCCGAGACGTTGGGGTGGTTGGTAAGCCTGACGATGAGTGCGGAGAATTACCTGTAGCTTTTGTGTCTACATATCCAGGTTGTAAAATATCTAAAGATGAGATACACGATTACCTTAACGGTAAAAAAATCGACTTTAAAAATGCTTATTAATCAGTTTTGATATTTTATAGATAAAGTTTCGTCGCAAAAAAGACTGAGAGGCGGGGTAATTTTCTTGGAGGAAATTCCCAAAAATCCAAGCGGAAAAATTCTGAGGAGGGAGTTAAGAAAAATGTTGGAAAAACAGATGTCAAAATTATAATTGTATTTTAATAAAAATATAGGAAAAATGATTTGTCGTTTTTTGGAGTATAGTATGCAACCACCTTATCTCTTTTAGTACAAACAATTTGGTAAACAACATTTAGGCCATTCAATGGAGCAAAAAAAACGTGGTTTGTGCAAAAAAAGTCAAAGTTTTTAAATTTTCAGTTTGTTCAGATGGACATAGTGAGTCCGAATCTCACTTTTCAGCAGATTAAGGGTTGCGTTCGATGAATGGGGGTGGTTTAAAGAAAAATTGGGGCGGACGGCAGAAAAATTCTTTTTGTAAGAAATTCTATAGAGTACGCTGATTAGAACACCGCACGACAAGCCTAGTCTATCTCTTATCGTTTAGGCCCTACTAGGGCAAAAGCACTCTAGGGCCGCACTAGAGTGCTTTTTCGGAAATGGTGCACGTGTAAAAACGCGCTTTTGCACCCTTTTAATGTTTCGCGCGCTATGGGCATTAATAATTATTCGATTTCAATTATTCAAAAACTGTATTATTCTCGATTGAATGTGCCATAAGCACGTTTTTTAAGCAGTCCGACAGCTATAAAATTAACGATTTCACAAAATGTCAAAATTCAACCTTTTTGTAAAATTCAGCTAATGATTTTAGAAAGGATTTTTTTTTTACAAAAATCTATAAGGCTCTGATCAAGTATTTTTTATGTGATAGCTCATAGTTTCAATTTAATTAATTTACTTATAAGAAAATAATAACATTATGATGAAATTAAATGAAGAAGTTTAAATACGTCTTCATCAATCTATTATTCATAAAATAATGGGGCTCACATAATTAAATTTAATATACAATATGCAGAAGGGCTTTATTGAACATAAACAACAATTGTTAGATTTTTTTGTAACTTATTTTTGCAATGTACCATTTTCGGCGAGTTTAAATTGTGGTCGATCGCGCGCTATAAAACGGCTTCCACAGAATTTGCCATGCATAAATTAATAAATACAACAATACATTTGAATGCCCCAGGTAGCACAACGTAACGAAATCTTGACGTAAACGAGACGTTTTCAGTCAGTCGTGACTTGGACGTTATTTAAAAATCGTAACGTATTTAATTAAAAACAGTTGCCAAACCGCGCTAAATTTAAGCATAGTTTTTGTGACGAATACGTTACATTAATATGAATAAAAATCTTCACGATGTAGTTAAGAATACGCCACGGATTCTTCACGATGATTTGTCACGGTTTCGTCACGACGCGTCGTTACCGAATAGTGAACTGAACTGGTCACGTAATTGTGGCGTATAGTTGCATTATTTGGGGGTGTAATAATATTGTGTAGTGTAATGCAGTGCAGTACGGTATAGTGGGTTGTTTTGTGTATTGTGGAATTATTGCTTACCTTCAAAGTTTTGTAATTTGATTTTAACCTCATCATCAGGTTGAAATCAAATTACAAAACTTTGAAGGTAAGCAATAATTCCACAATACACAGAACAACCCACTATACTGTACTGCACTGCATTACACTACACAATATTATTACACCCCCAAATAATAACATATTGTTGTTAGGATTGTTTAGTTTTGCAATGTTAATGCAAAGAAAGCACATTTAACTGAATTATATTTTATTAGAAAAACAATAAAAACATATTCTACAATAAACTATAATATATATTATATAGAAAAACACTAACAAAATAAAAAAATATTACTCTAATACAATAAAAATACCTCCATGCACTTTTGAAAACCAGTAATAATTGCAATTAGTTTTCAAATTTCATATCTTTGAAAAAAAAATTAAATTATTTTTCTATTTTAAGGATAAAACAGTACACAAAAATATAATTCTCCTGTAGAATAAAACACTATTTTATTAGAATATACCTAATATAAAAAACAGTAAAACAAAATAAACAAGTATTTCTCTTATAAATTAAAAAATGAAATGAATGAAGTCAATTAATAATTCATGTAGTATAAAATTTTTATTTTATTTCTGCAGTTTCTTTAACTGCAACATTTATTTATAATAAACTTACTTAAATAACACTAGGGTTCAGCTGAAGTACAAACCTGTGATTTCATCTTATCATATGTATGCTTAATGTGCATAATGTGCTTTTCAACGTCATCCTTTGTAATATTTCTTTCCCCCGAGACAACCCAAGACAATTGTGTTTGCCATCAATATGTCTTTTAGTCTAAAGTTTTCGTTTACCCCTATCCAGATGTGTGGAGTGTGTCCAGAGTGTCGACTGTAAAACAGTGTATGTTATGTTGGTTACCAATTTTTTAATTTTAATTGACCTGCAAAATGAGAAGAAATAAGTAGTTTTCTCCATGGCTTTGTTAAATTTTATTTCACATACAAAAAAATGTATTTTTTCCTCTTTCAGTAGAAATTCAACTTAAAATACTTAAGCTATAATAATAAATTTGTTATATATATATATATTAACACACTAAAAATGTTGTGGTTACTTATATTTTGTTGCTACAGCAAAACATTTCTTAGATTAGTGTGTAGTTGTTTAGCATTGCAGACAATTGTCTTAAGCTACTGAAATATAGAAAAGCAAAAGTACTTACGGTTTTAAACTATCCTTTTGTTTACTATTAAAAACTTTGCAGAAATATAGAAAAACCTACAGAAACCAATGGCTTGGGTCGTTACCAATCATTCAAAATGGAGATCCTACTGGAGATGCACAGAACATATGACTATTGGCGACTGCGCATTGGTGTCACGACTTTACGTGATGTTTTCGTGACGATTTGTATAAATATTTTGTAACGTTTTTGTAACGAGCTGCACGTCAAGAATTTTATACCAAAATTTAAAGTAAAATTATCACTATTTCGTGTGACTAACGACTTTATGAAAAAATTCGTCACGTATTTTCATAGACCCCTCGTCACGAATTTGGCGTCACGCAATTTATTTACTTTTTATTAAAATTTCTTTAATCGTAACGAAATATTGTCTCGTTTTCGTCACTTCCAATTTTTAATGTCACGTTGTGCTACCTGGGGCGGGAAACTATGAGCTATCATATGAAAAAAAATACTTGATGTGAGCCTTATAGATTTTTGTATCCTTTCTAAAATCAGCTACATTAGCTGAATTTTACAAAAAGGTTGAACTTTAACATTTTGTGAAATCGTTAATTTAATAGCTGTCGGACCGCTTAAAAAACGTGCTTATGGCACATTTAATCGAGAATAATACGGTTTTTGAATAATTGAAATGGAATAATTATTAATGCCCCTACCGCGCGAAACGTGAAAAGGGTGCAAAAGCACGTTTTTACACGTGCACCATTTCCGAAAAAGCGCTCTAAGGCCTAAACGATAAGAGATAGACTAGGCTTGTCGCACGGTTTTTTAATCAGCATACTCTAAAGAATTTTTTACAAAAAGAATTTTTCGTTTTCGTTAAGCCCTATTCGCAGCGTTCTGCCGTCCGCCCCATTTTTTCTTTAAACCACCCCCATTCAGCAAGCGCACCGATAAATCTGCTGCAAAATGAGATTCGGACTCACTATGTCCATCTGAACAAACTGTGAAAATTTAAAAACTTTTTAACTTTTTTTGCACAAACCACGTTTTTTTGCTCCATTGACTGGCGTAATTCGACAATTCATGACCTTGATTTTTTAAGCACTTTGGAATAGTATCAGCTACCTATCGCTTGGGTAAGATTGTTTATTATTAATTTATAATAGTTATTATTAGGTATTATGCATTAGAAACCATGACGATAGAAGACAACGTTCACATTTTAACGGGACCTGAGCCCTATAGACCATTCTTAAACACAAATTTAGGACAACTTTACTATGATTTGTTATCCAAAAGTAAAGTACACTATGATGCGATGGTAAGCTCTACTTAATATATTAACTATACAAAACCTAAATATAACAAATTTTTCCTAAAGGTGGACGCTCAAACAGGGAAAACTTTATCGTATAAAGACCTATTTGAATACACCTTGATATTGGCCGACTACCTACAAGAACTTGGTTATGGTAAAGACTCGATTATGTCGATAAGCAGCGAAAATAACTTACAATTTTTCATACCAATTATATCATGTTTATACACCGGCTCTATAATGGCGCCCTTAAACCATAACTACACCCCTGAAGAGCTAAGTCACTGCATAAACATATCAAAACCAAAAGTCTTGTTTTGCAGCGAAAAAGTTTTGAATAAGTTTCAGAAATTAAAAGGAGAGTTGGGGTTCATAAAGACAATTATTGTTATTGACAGTACAAAGGAGTGTTATGGGGTTATATCGTTAATGAATATGTTAAAAGAAAGAAGGGTTAATATGAGCAAATGGAGGCTTTTTAAGCCTATTGAAGATAGGCCTGAGGATCTTAAATCTTTTATAATGTGTTCCTCAGGGACTACAGGTATGCCTAAAGGAGTTCTGCAGTCACATTTAAACATTGTGGTGAGGCTTAACCATTGTAGGTAAGTAATATAATAATTATTATAAAACTGTTTATTATAGAAAAACTGTAGAAAAACTTCAAAACAAAATTCTAAAAATCATATTTAAAAAATCAAGATTATTTTCCACTAATATGTTATATATATAATGAATCCAATTTGTCAAAAGTTCGTTTAATTTATATTATACAGTGCATATTTTGGGTAAACAAAAACAATAAGAAAACTGAAATAGTCCCCTCCCAGCATAACATCAGATCTACCGAAAAAAATGTATATCCTATTCCTCTTTTTAAAAATAATTTTACGCAAAGGACTGCATTTTATTTTGCGCCAAAATTTCATAACATATGTCTTTAGGTAACATATGTTACCTAAAGAAATAAGTCACCTGAGTTCTTCAAATAAGTTCAAAAAGTTTAAGGTAGAATCCAAGCGTTACGTAACTTTGTATCAAGACTTTTTAAAAATAATATCCCAAAAAAAAGTATAACAAATTTCTGGACTTCTTTTGTTTTTAGAATTTTTTATTTATTTTTATTATTATTGTTTTGTTTTGTTTTTCTTTTGTTTCTGTTTCATTAGCGTTATGTAGCAGGGTTTTTCTCCTCTAAATCTGACTGTTAAATAAATGTTATTTTTTTATTATTATTGTTATAACAAATAGCTTTTTTGATTTTTTACTCAATGCCAATGTAACAGTTAAATTATTGTTATAATTTTTATTATTATTATTTTTTTAGACTGTAAATTACAAAAAGATACATTTATCCTAAGATTGTGAAATCACACACAAGCACTGCTTAGGTGATTCACAAAAAATTTAAATGTAAATAGGTATAGTGCTATTAATTAATCTGCAACTTCTTGGGCTTATCTTATTATTATTATTTTGTATTTATAGGTTAACTATGTAATTTTTGTAGAAGAGAAATAAATTATTTGATTTGATTTGATAATATAATAAAAAATTTATTTTAGGGATCCAAGATACTCAAGGGTCGATAAGGGTTTAAGAGTGTTGGCAATTCTACCTTTTTTCCACGGTTTTGGTCTGCTTACAAACCTTGGTGCGATGTTCAATCAAATCCAAATTATAATGATGAACAAATTTAACGAAAAAAACTTCCTAGAAACCATACAAAATTACAAAGTGAACCTGTTATGGCTTGCACCACCTTTGGCCGTATTTCTAGCCAAAAGCCCTTTAGTTAAGAACTATGATCTATCCAACGTATTAGAGTTATTATGTGGGGCAGCACCCTTAGGCAAAAATATACAGGAGGAACTTAAAAAACGCCTTAAAATCGACACTATAGCTCAAGCTTACGGCCTCACAGAAGCAACTCTAGCAGTCACATTGCTAGAAAGAAACCAATACAACAAACAAGGCTCATCTGGCAAAGTAGTACCACTAATGAAATGCAAAGTGAGGGATCCCGATACAGGGCGTTCTCTATCAGCCAATAAAGTTGGCGAACTTTGCTTCAAAGGACCAATGGTGATGCCGGGTTACTACGAAAACCTCGAAGCAACTAAAGCCACCTTCACATCAGACGGTTGGCTGAGAACTGGCGATTTGGGTTACTACGATGACGAGGGGTTTTTCTACATTGTCGATAGACTCAAGGAGCTAATCAAATACAAGGGGTTCCAAGTACGTTGATTATTATGTTGGTTAGGTAGTATCTTTTTAACTGAGATTTTTATACTTTAAACTTCAGTTAAAGTGAGCTGAGCTGTAGTGATGTGAGTAAGCATAAAAAAGAACGTCACAGTTTCAGTTCGTTCATATCATTATACCTATGATTCAATTGAAACGTGGCAACGTAAATGAAAGGTTTGTTCATAAAGGCTATAGCCTACGTATACGTAACCTAAATTTGTGAACTAAATAAAAATATTGCCGATTGGCAATATTTTTATTTATGGATGTGAATCGTAAACAATTTTGAAGTTGCGTAAAATTATATACATTACATTAAAATAATGTAATTTTAAAAACGTGAACAAACCCAGTAATTTATTTATCCCCTCTATTTTATTTCCGACTCGATTTAATATGCGGGGGCACAGCATATGCAGTATAGGTGAGGGGGTAGGAAAAATCTTAGCTCACTTCAAAACAACGCGCACATTTGCAAATTTTACCGATGTGAACTGAGATTAACTAAGATCTCAGTCAAAAAGAACGCGGCTATTAAAATGTTATATGGATTTTATGTGTTGCTTTTAAGGTTGCCCCAGCCGAGTTGGAAGCTGTATTACTAAAACACCCAAAAATTCGCGACTGTGGCGTTGTTGGTCTTCCAGACGAGCTAAGTGGAGAGCTGCCTTTAGCTTTTGTTGTCAAACGCCAAGGGGTGGAGTTGTCGGAAAAGGAAGTTGTTGAATTTGTTGCAAGTAAGGTTTTAGAGTAAATTTTTAAGTTAATTGATTATATGTTGTACTTTTTAGAATCAGTTTCGTCTTCCAAACATTTAAGGGGTGGAGTAATTTTCATCAACGAAATACCTAAGAATCCAAGTGGAAAAATTCTAAGAAGAGAACTTAAAAAATTGTTTAATAAATGTAAAAATAAATTATAGTCGATTTTTGATGAATAGCTTTAGTGTATCACTTGTTAAATACCAATTTTTTTTTGTATTTTTGATGATAGATTGCGAAATAACACTTTTGTAAGGGATAGCGAGTAAAAAAGAATTTTGCAATAGAGTATTAACTCAATATTTTTTCGAATTTATTCCAAAGTTTTAATTACTAAAAATGGCAAAAGAACATTTTGAAACGGATTATGCGTACATATATGTACGCATAGCAACGGATGTAAAAGTACTTTGCGTGTATCAACCAATTGGTTGTAATTAATGTACATTAATGTAGATTACGTCATTAGGAGAAGTGAATTTTTGTGCTGAGCTCAAAAGATTGCCGAGAAATTGAGCAAAGTTCGAAAAAATCTTTGAATAACGTATTTTATCTTCTTTTATCTTAAAAAACAAAACATTATATTAATATGAATATATGATTAATATGAATGACAATCTGTCAATGACAGATTGTCAATGCTTTCTCCAAACGCATAGGCGGAGATAATATGAATAAAATAGGGTAAAAACGTGATTTTTATTGTCTACGCTCATGTATCTCATTATTGGTTGATTCTGTAATTTTATTTGTTTATTTTAACCTCTTTACAATTGTAAGTTTAACCCATTTGTTAATGGATTATTAAACAATAAATCTTCTTAATTTGTTTGTAGTAAGAACAAATAAGTTGCAAAAAGTTTAAACTACTTAAACAAATGAATTGACAAAATTAACCATTAGGGTGGGTTAAAAACAAAATGTTTGTTTTTTTTCTTAGCATGGGGGTAGAATTTTTTTACCCAACATCTTGAGGTGGCCCACTCGGTTTTTAAATAAATATTTTTAATCAAATGGGGTAGTTTTTGTTCTAGAATCTGTAGGGTGTGTCCTTAAAAGCCAATTGGAAGTCAAAAGTTGAAAAAGTTTTTTCCCCATTGTTTTTGTAATTTAAGTAAAAAATTTATATTAGAATGAAAGTTAAGTGAAAAAAAATCACATTCTACAATTTTTACATGTTTTCCACGATTTTGGACCAAAAAAATTCCCGTTGGAACTACCCCATTTGATTTAATATTTATTTAAAAAACGAGTGGGCCACCTCAAGATGTTGAGTAAAATTTTTTTCTTTTGAATTTTTTTTATAAGGTACAAATTTTACCCCTATGCTAAGAAAATACAACAAACATTTTGTTTTCAACCCACCCTATTAACCATCAACCAATATTTTAACGTTCGGCAAAATTATAAATCCTGGCAAAGGACTATCTTTGGGATAAAATGATGACAAAACGGGTGATTTAGGTTACTTACGATGTTTTTCTTTATGGTTGATAAACTTTAGGAGCTCATAAAATACAAAGGTTATCAGGTTGGTATCTTGTTTAACAGACAAAAACAATACTTGTTTTGAAACAACATTGTTATCTACATTTGTTTTTATCTTAATTGTAATTTTGTGCAAATGATATAGGTAAAGCAGGTATATAGATCTATATTATAGGTAAAGCAAAATTAACTTATTATTTTTTGTTAGGAATTGGAGGAAATGTTCCTAAAGAAATCCGTGAATATGATTATTTTGGAGATTTGTATTCACTCATCTAGGTGTAGGTAATATTACTTATATAAGTAAATTGTATATAATAAAGTTAAAAACCATTAAATCAATCGATTTTTACAATAATACTATCAATGATTTTTATTTCAGATAACTATGCATAGTTATAAAATTGATTTTATTATCCCAATTTAAACCCAAGTCGTAAATTTGCTTGCAGTACCTTCATTGCTGTTGTTTTTGGCCAAAACCCCGCTTCTACAAAATCCATCTTATAGGGATTCATTTTCCAATATATTTTGTGTAGCTGCACCGGCCGGTATAAAAATTTTGCTATGTTTGTTTTTAGATTTATCAAATAAAGCAAATGTATGGCCTGACAAAGTTGGCTGAGGCTGATACCATTAGTGATGTAACGAATGTTATTTATTTTTAAACATTCGCGAACGTGAATGTCAACTCTTTAAACTTGCCGACATTTTCTTCGCCCATGATAGGTAACTAAACGCACTCTAACACGGGTAAACTACACCTAGGTGTCGTTATTGGCGATTTAATTCTACCTGGTTTTGTATTAGAAGTATTGAGAATGATTTCTTTGATACCAAAGGGTTTATGTCATAAGTGATCTCAAAATAATAATAAAACTGTTGCTTTTTTGCCTCACAATATTCGCATGAATTTTGTACCACCACATCAAAACATACATACATACATAATGGTACCATAATAAAAATTATAGATCTTGATATAAAAGAGTTTTACCTCTGGGTAAAAAGGGCGGGGTCTGCATAAAAAGTCTTGGTTGTAAAGGTTAACGTTTCAAACGATTTAGCTCAAATAACTTGGCGAGGTTATGAACGTCCGCGTTGAAAAATCGTGGTTTAAGATTCCAAGTCCCATATAACAAAGAAAATATTAATCGAATACGTACGCATTCGTACGCGCGCGTAGCAGGTACATTTTTAAAGTATTATTTATGTTACATGTGTTATTAATATAGATAACTTGTCCGCCTATAAATGTCTGCGTGGTGGCTTAATTTTTTTCAATAAATTACCGAAAAATTTAACTGACAAGCAATTAAGATAACAACTTTAGTTTATTTATTATTAACATAATTAAAATTGATATAAAAGAATCACACTTTTTGTTTTTTTGGAAACTTGCTTACAACGCTTTCAGGTATTTTCTTTAATAAAGCAGCGTTGTCGACAGTTCTGTTTGTGGCCAGAATGCCTCTGGTGTTGGGGTGCTCCACTTCCTTATGGTAGTCGTAGTGATCACCATGGACATCAACTAACTTGCCTCCTGCTGCTTCAAGTATACCTTCTGGGGCGCAGGTGTCCCACTTTTTGCAACCGCTGCTTGGATAAAGATACGCATGGGCTTGACCTTCCAAAACAAGGAGCACCTAAAATTGTTTTTAAATGAATAGTTAAACCGTAAACAACTTTGCATAATCTTTAAATTTAAGCCATAGATTAAGTTGATATTTACCTTATGTCCTGCACCTCCAACCCTTACAACCTCATCAGGTTTAAGGGCCTCCAAAGTTTGAACTACTACAGGGGAATTGTGAGACCTAGTGGTAGTAATTATTAATTTATCTTTTGGAGCATCTAAAGGAGTAAAACCACCTACTCCCATACCCACTAAACCCCACATTGTGCGACCCTCAGTGTTTTTAACTGATTTATAGTTGTAATAGGGTTGGTGGATAATACCACCTACAGCTCTCCCTTTAACTGAAAGTCCTATAAGAACTGTAACATGGTCCAACAAACCCTAGTTAAAAAAAACATATTTTTTAAATTTGAAAAAAACAACAACAAATATTTGCTTACCTGGGTGTATTCAGATGTACCATCCAAGGGATCAACCCATACTACTATATCTTCATCCTTAACATTCAAATATTCTTCTGGACATTGTTTCCCTAATATTTCTGCATCTCCATCAGGAACAACCCAATCACTGGGCAACTAATATACAAAACAACAAAAATTAGCATAGCAGACACACACCTTCTTTGACAAGTAGTTTTTAAGTTTCTGGGTGAATTTATTAATATTATTAATAAATTACTTTGTTAACAATTGTTACTACCTGGGTAACTTCAAAATTGTAACAAACAACAAAATTGTTTATAATAATACCACAACTTTAAAAATAAGTTGGTGGCATTTGAAACCAACTATTGGATTTAATAAAGTAGGTAGATTTAGAGGGTTTTGACACGAAAAAAATAAACAAAAAACAACTTAATTTTGCTATTTAATAGCTGCTCTAAGGACAATGGCTGGTCTAGTATTGCCAGAGACAACGTACATATTGCATAAATAAAATATGTAGGTATATGTGGTTTAGGGGTATGGCGCCGCGGTCCACGTGTTGTCTCGTTTAGTGCTCTATAGTTGACTATAATAGCCGGTAGGCTGGATTTAGAGGGGAGTGTAAATTAACTCAAAATTAAATGGATTTAGTGTCATTGGAATCTAAACACACTTTTAAGAGTACATTTTAATATATATTTGGTAGATTTAGCAACAATTCAAATGCACACATTGGGAATTTTAGTAGGAATATTTTGATGCATAGGTGTATTTTTATATAATATATAAATATACATGTACCTATGCATCAAAAAATATTATATTTTATTTTTCATCAAACACGAAGGGATTTTGATACTAGAGGATTCAAATAAGCATTGAACAATTTTCAAATGATGTTTCAAGCTTGAGTTGATAATCTTAAGAAAGTTATATCTATAGATCTTCATATAGATAATATATTTTAAAATAAAAATGTACCTTAGATATTACAAACTTAACAATGTAAAATTCAACCAGATAAAATTGTCTTAAAAATAAGTTGATGATGCATCATGATTACATGTAAATTTTACAGGTTTTTGACCAAAGAAAACAGTAACAAAATACAACCTTGTCAACCTCAGTCCCTTTATTTGTAATGCGCGGTTGCCATATATATGTCAAGTGTCATAATTAATTTCAAAAATGGATTTTTTTGATTTAAAAATTACGCTGTCTAAAGTAGGGCGGAGCGAAAAATAAATATCTTTAAAATTTAAAATATAAAACTTGGGCATGATAAAAATAAATATTTTGGCGAAGAAAAAATTCCTACCACCGCCCCAGAGCAATCGAAAATATAAAAATTATAATATTCAGACGGGGGTAGAAAACGGTTAAAATTTTTTTTGAGCCCAGATTTTTTAGAGCAAAACTAACCTCGAGGGGTAAACCACTTCCAACGTTCAACGTTAAATGGACGTTGTGATTTTTCCTCATCAGTCGTTGAATAATATCAATATCAAATTTCTCTTAGCGATGCGTTGAGCATGACTATAAAGGTATACCTTTGTGATTGTTTCTCTCAGCCGTTAATTCGTAGTCGATTTTTAATTTAAAAAAAACAGTGGTTACTCCTTGACTAACTTTCCTAAACTGGGCACATTAAAAAAACAAGCTAGAGAAGGGGCCTGGTCAATACAAATATTTATATATTTTTAATTGACCGCCCATTTTGCTTGATTAAAAAAAATAGTGCTTTGGAAAGGTTACTTATGCTCAAAGTAAACAACTTGGCTAAAAAAATATATATTTATATTACTACCGTTTTTAACACCACCTTAAATATTAAAATTTTCATGTGGAAGGAATTTAACAATATATTTTTTTTTCACTAAAATTTACCGGGGGCCCCATTTAGCTTTATATAAATTTTATAATATTCATTTACAGTACTGTACTGTACACGTGTGTGACGGGAAATTATGACGTCATTCAAGATCAATTTAAGTCCCGCGCAACGTAAAAATTAAATAAAAAAACTTACATCACACTGACTTTGTCCTTCCTCCCCTATAATAGTGACTTTAGGGAACTCCCTAGTCAAATTGGAAATTATGCAACACTGTGCAGATCTGTCGGCTTCCGTTTGAAGGTCATTTATACCCTAAAACAATATAATGGTCATTATTTATGTACAGTGGGGGACACGGAATTTTGAACGACTTATAATTCATTTGACATCAAAATCTAAATCTGCCTTTATGACAACTAACCTTACTTCCGGACAGTCATGACGCGTCATCTTGACAGCGAAAGCAAAATTTTATTTAATGATCTCTGCCATTTATAGAATCACACAAAGGCAACCAAATTAAAATAATTTAATATACAATTTAATTAAATTTTGTAATATTAAAATTAAACTAAACAAAAATATGTAAACTTATATTTGGTCATTGCTCCATTCGATTGAATAACTTGTGCCAATCTAGTCGGCATGGAGAGACATAGATTTCGGTGGTAATCCAATGGCAAACCTTGCCCGGCTTCAGTTATTGCAAGGATAAGTTCTTCCCTATTTTGAACTTCTATCCGTCGCTCCTTTAAACGTTTTGTCATTAATCCCCACATATTCTCTATCGGATTTAAATCCGGACTGTGACTAGGCCAATCAAGGACGTTTATATTATTATTTTGAAACCATACTGCTACCCTCCGTGCTGTGTGAACCGAGCAGTTATCTTGTTGAAAAACAAAATTATTGTTAGGATAATGCAGTTCCACAGAAGGTAGCATCACGTTTTGAAGTATCCTAATATAAACGTCACTTGTTAGTCTCTCCTCTACGAGCAGTATTATCCCAGGACTCTCCGCCGAAATCCAGCCCCAAATGTTGACAGAGAAGCGTCCGCTACTTTTGACTGCATCAACATATCGTTCATTGTAGCGTGTATTGTGGGGCCTATATACCCTGATCCGGCCATTTGGGCATGATTGAAAAGTTTTTTCGTCGGAGAAAATTACCCGACTCCAAAATGTTCCAGTACACAATAGCACACTCTCAAAATCCAATTTTTATTGGAAATTTTCGACACAAATGGATATAAAACCACATTTTAAGCATATTTAGGTGCGGAAAAACCAAACTTTTACTAAAATATATGTTTATAGTGTTAAATTCAACAAACCTTGCTTAAAACTGTCACCTTTTCTATGTACAGCACTGAATTTTAAACTGTCACAATTTAAAATGACAGAATTAGTGTTTTAAGGTTGGTTATCATGTATTTCAATGTTGTCAGGTTTAAAATTGGCAAAAGTATTACATTATTTTGTAATTGAAAATGTATATTGTATCAAAATAAATTCCGAAATATGCTAAACATTGAAGAAAATATTGAAATTACGGAAGTATGAGCAAAATAAGTATAGGAATAATAATATAATATTATCTTAATTAACGGTACCTATGTAGGCAACCCAGATAACAACATATTTCATCATCATTTAACTAAATACTTTAAATAATTTTAATTTAAATACTTATACATGTAATTATTAAAATAAATTATTTATATTAGGTATTGGATTAATTTTTGCACTTAATTTAATTTCATAATTTAAAAATTTTGTTTTTAAACAAAATTTGTTATTATTGCAGTTGTCATTTAATTGATATAGGTACCTTTTAAGTAGTGTAAATTTATTTGTGCTATTTGCTACTTATTTCAAAATGAATATTCAAAACATTAATAATGTTTATAAGCTTACATCTAAGCCAGATGGAGAGTTAATAACTGCATTACAGCAGGCTGGACTTGTAAAAGCCCAGTTACGCTGCAAGGTGAGGAACTGTAGGAGAATTTGCATTTTAAGACCCAGAGCTGGAGTATATATATATAACCTGGACCACGCCTTTTTAATAATAATAATAATAATAATAATGTCCTCACGGGTAATTTTTTCGACACAATAAAAGTATCTGTCCGCGACGTAATCCACATTATGTGGTATTGGGCTTGCGAGGTCAGGACTGGCCTCGTCGCCTAAATTATGGGTACGCGTCGTGGGCGAAATATCCCTAATATACCGATAGGTTTGAACAATCCGCCCACTACGAGTACTCATAATTTGGACGTCGCGACGGGGCCATTCCTGACCTTGCAAGCCCAATACCACATAATGTGGATTACGTCTGGGAGTTTTTGTTTGACCAAGCCCGGCTCGCTTCGATCGGCATTTATTTAATTTGATTACGTTTATAAAGAGCCTAGGCGGGCTTGGTCAGTGCCTGAGCCCAATTTCGCGCGCGCAAAATTGGGCGCAGGTACTGACCAAGCCCGCCTCGCTTCGCTCGGCATTTATAATAAATGATTTATTAAATTTAATTACGTTTACCAAGAGCCTAGGCGGGCTTGGTCAGTGCCTGAGCCCAATTTTGCGCGCGCGAAATTGGGCTCAGGCACTGACCAAGCCCGCCTCGCTTCGCTCGGCATTTATAATAAATGATTTATTAAATTTAATTACGTTTACCAAAGAGCCTAGGCGGGCTTGGTCAGTGCCTGAGCCCAATTTTGCGCGCGCGAAATTGGGCTCAGGCACTGACCAAGCCCGCCTCGCTTCGCTCGGCATTTATAATAAATGATTTATTAAATTTAATTACGTTTACAAAGAGCCTAGGCGGGCTTGGTCAGTTCCTGAGCACAATTTTGCGCGCGCGAATTTGGACTCAGGGACTGACCAAGCCCGCCTCGCTTCGCTCGGCATTTATAATAAATGATTTATTAAATTTAATTACGTTTACAAAGAGCCTAGGCGGGCTTGGTCAGTACCTTAGCCCAATTAAACGCGCGCCAAATCGGGCTCAGGCACTAAACAAGTCCGCCTCGCTTCGCTCGGCATTTATTTAATATGATTACGTGTGCCAATACTTTGTAAAAACTGATAGACTTTACAAGTTGCCTAGGCGGGCTTGATCTGTGCCTAAGCACATTTCATATAAGTTTTTGATATTGAATCTATTTTATTTTTAATAACAAATATCTTAGTAACAACAACTCACATGAAAAAACTTTATTTGGCTTTTTGATTTATCCTTACAAGCTCTTCATATTAGACCTTAAAAAAATTAACATTTTTTAATTTTGCAAAATCTACAATTGTATTTTTTTTGCGCACCATGTTTGACCAAATAGGAGTTTCTCATCTTGAATATTTATCGCATCGAAAATTTCAATTTCCCATTTGATTAACATGGGAAAATTTTTTTTTCGAACTTTGGAATTTATTAACTCTTTAACAAGTCATCGGACTAGTTGAGTCGGAACATGTTTTTGTAGAGAATTGAACGCTCTACAAAAAAAGTCTCTTATAATTTTTTGATATAATTATTTTTTCAAAAGTTATTTAACGCTAAAGATGGATTGATTTAAAATTTTTACATTTTTCCAATTTTCCGACGCAACCATCAACTTTATGAGAAAATTTAATAGGACTTTTTTTGTAGAATATTCAATTTTCTATAACTTATTTTTAAAAAATGTTTGATATTTTTTACAGATCGTAAGTTATTTGCAAAAAACTAAAAATTTTTTGAAAAATTTGTCATTTTAATGCTTAAAATTAATTGTCATATTAAATAAATTTAATTTAAATTAATATTAAGAGCTGAAACTTTCACAGGATTTTTTTTTTCGTCATTTCAAACAATATTTTCAATATTAATAAGAAAAGAAAAAATAGTCGATTTTTTTGAAACAGTCTAATATATATATATATATATATATATATATATATATACCTATATATAGAATTAAAACGGCCATTTCAATCACGCGGACGGAACAAATCACAAAACTTTTATAAAAAAATTGAAGGTAATTTATTATATATTATTTTGGCATCAAAATAAAAGAAATGCAAGAAATATTTTATAAAACGAGATAATTTTTTTAATAATGTACAGTCGTGGATGGAACAAAAAAATATTTCATGTATTAAAGTTCTCTAAAAAATAAAAGGTATAAAATGTATGTATGTATGTAATTAGGAATAATTTCATGTAATCTTGGTTGCATAATAAATTTCCCCAAACAGCGTAAAAATTTTACATCTGGCAACATTGCGATGAATTTCTTTGAATCTGACATTTCTTGACAGTTCTTGTCAAAAAATCTGTCAAAAAAAGCATTTTCAAACTTAATTTTCTCAAAAACTAGTGAAAAACCCGCAATTTTTATTTAAGAAATTTACTATTTAAAACGTCCTTTTTCAAATGGTAAATTTTTTTTTTGGAAATTCAGAGTGTGCTATAGTGTTCTGGACCCTCATCTTCTGCTAGGTGTTGTAATGCGAAACCAATTCTTGCTTCCCTATGCCAAGGCCGTAATTTTGGTTTTCTTGCTGCCGCATGATTATGCAAGCCACTTGCCTTTATTCGTCGATGAGCAGTTCTGACTGACCCCGGGAAATATGTAATTCCGACTGCTTGAACGGCGTTGGAGAAAGGATTATTCCTAATTACATCTATGATCGCTTCGTCTTCTTCAGCGGCGTCCAGGTCGCCGAATATCTTCCGCGGCGCGCCGATCCACTGATTCAGTTAGTGTCCATTTACGCATAATTGCATGTATGGTGCTCTTTGGTATACCTAAATGTACCGAAACTTGTCCATACGACATGCCGCTCTGAAGAAGGGTTACCATTTTAACTTTATTAAAGTAAGATACAGCTGGCATTTTCTATATCAGTGGTCAAGTTGACGCTTTAAATTCACTTTTAAATTACAAATTACAAACGTCAATAATAAAAAAATATATAAACGTCAATAATGACAAAAATCAATTTCATGTTAGCAATTAAAGTGTGGTTTGCACTGACATTTTTTGAAATGACAGAGATTTGATGTTCGAAATTCCTTGTCGGCCACTGTACTATACTCTACACCTTAATTAATTGTACCACAGTCACAGCTCCACACACCAAAGTCCCACCACATGATTTAGAATAATAGAAATAATTAAGGTTAATTTTCTGTCAGTGTCAAGCTAATTTTGTCTTGTTTTCTAAAAATAATACAATACCTATATGTATTTTTCTGTTCTAAGTTAAGACCTTTATAAACAAAAAGTGAGTTATAGTGCACAAAAATTAACATTAAGTTAACATTAACATTAAGATTAAAATTAAAAAGTTAAAATGAATGTAATACAATGGAAGCATTTGTTAGCATATGTTAAATTAATCTTAATGTTAATGTAAATTTGTGCTGCATTATTCCACCATTATTTTTAGAAAATCGGAAGAAATTACCCTGACACTGACAGAAAATTAACCTTATTTCTATCAAAGTTGCTGGGTGGGACTTTGATGTGGAGCATCGTATGTACCGTTTGGTTATGTGACCTACTTGACCACACTTTTTACAAATGTTTAGCAAAAAATAAACTTACTTTTTCGACAATTCCCAATTCACCAGCGCTCATAATATCTCTGATTATTTTGCCAGCTTTAGTGGCTGCTGTATACGAGGAAGCTAACAGCTTCTGCACCAAAGGTTTATTTTGAGCCATGTTGTATAGTGTCCTTACTGTTCTAAAACAAAATTAACACTGACTGATTTTCACCTTTTATGTAAATTATTTTAATCTTTTTTTACTGTTATTCATGGCCATGTTCCAGTCTAATTGTTTTGGAATTAAGGGATTTTTTTCTGACTTAACCTTGTTTCTGTATAATTTTTATCTTATTTTATGGAAACATACTTACAAGGCATTTAACAGTTGATTGAAGATTAAACGATTTAGCGATTCAACTTTGTTCAGCTTATTTTATTAAATTTTTTTAAAGAATACACATTTGTGTATTTATTAAAACCCACAGTGCTACCAACTTGAATCACCACAAAATTCAACATTGCTTAAACAAAAACAGTTACTTTTACTCTGTTATGTTGCCATTCTGGTTATTTTAAACATTTTACATTTGCTTATTTTTAGGTTAGATTATTTACTATGTTTGCAATAAATCGGCATAAACGGCTTAAAAACCTAATAAATTTCAGGAAATATGTGGAAAATAATGTTAGGTATTTCGCGGCCAAATTAAAGGACCCAGAAGTAACCATACCATTCGCAAATGGGTAAGTTACGAAAAAGTGGGGTTATGATCTTATGAAATCACGTAAATAAGTGTTTTATACTCAGTTAATGGAAATATTTCATTATTTTTAGGCGTAACCTAACGATATCGACCGGGCAATATGCCAGAATGGCTGATGGTTGTGCTGTAGCAACCATAGGTGATACATCGGTTATGGTTACTGTTGTGTCCAAAACCAAGTCTTCTTCTGCTGGTTTTTTACCATTGGTGGTGGATTATAGACAAAAATCTGCCGCGGCAGGGAGGATACCTACTAATTTTTTAAGAAGGGAGTTGGGTCCTTCTGAGAGGGAAATATTAACATCTAGGCTAATAGGTTTGTCTTTTTTATTGTAAATGTTTTTTTTTTTAATATTATGATGATTTAGACAGAAGTCTACGTCCATTATTCCCTGATAACTATAATTATGAGACTCAGTTAGTGTGCAATATGTTGGCAGTAGATGGCATTAATAGCCCTGATGTAGCATCAATTAACGCAGCTTCAGCTGCATTAAGTTTGAGTGATATACCATGGAACGGCCCTATAGGGGCTGTAAGAGTGGGTCTTATAGATACAGAGATGATAGTAAACCCCACAAGAAAAGAATTACAACAATCTGGTTTGAATTTGATTGTTTCCGCTACAAAGAGGAATTTGGTGGTTATGTTGGAGGGTAATGCTGATAATATATTGCATCAGGATTTAAGTAAAGCTATTAAATTGGGAACGAAAGAGGTTCAACATATTGTTAATGGCATTGAGGAATTACAAAAGAGTTTTGGGATGCCCAAACGAATTTTGGAGGTCCCTCAAGTTCTTTCAGCAGAAATTTATGAAGCATTAAGATCATTGTCTGAGATGAGGGTCAAAGAAATATTCAAGAACTACACATTAGATAAATTAGAACGCGATAACGCCCTTAACAATATTAGAATGGATGTCCTAGACAAAATAAGGCAATCATTTCCTGATGTGGACTTAAATTTACTTCAAGATGGTTACAACAAACTTGTAAAGTCGATATTCCGCGAGTTGATTTTCGAGGAGGAAAAAAGATGTGATGGAAGGCAGTTTGATGATATAAGAAACATTTCCTGTAAAGTAAACATGTATAAACCTTTGCATGGTTCCGCGATGTTTCAAAGAGGGCAAACTCAAGTTTTTTGTACTGTCACATTAGACTCACATGAAAGTGCTATGAAGTTGGATCCTATGGCTATTTTGACAGGGTAGGTATCACAAAAATTAAGTCCTAAAATTGAAAATTACGGCAAGAAAAGTGCCAAAAAATATTAACAAGCTAAAATGATGACAAGATAAAATTATTACTTGCTAAAAGACTAAAAGTAATGACAATATAAACTAATGAAAAGCTTATGACAACAAATTATTTTAAGCTAAAATCACAGCAGGTCCACTCGACCGCTTTAATCTTATTCAGACGGTTTTGGTGATCTCGAACAGTGGCCGCGTAAATAAACAGGTCCGTAGGTATTTATTTTAAAAATTATATCTTCTCAAGCTAAGAAATATTTATAGTGAAATAATATTTAAGTTTTAAGCTTTGAAAAGTGTAAAAAATCCCTAAAACTGCAGTTTTAGTGATTTTTTACACTTTTCAAAGCTTTCAAACATACGAATTTTTGAATTAAAAAAAATAATCCTGGTATAGATTCTTTGGGAAATTTTATGCTCTACAAGAATCCGAGACGTAAAATTTTTTATCTCAAACGGTTCAAAAGTTATAGTCTTTTTAATGAAAAAAAATTTTTTTACGTGTTATTTCAATGGAAAACTTAGAATGCTCACCGACACCTTTTAAAATTGAGCAAAAAATTTTGCCTTGCAGGGAAATTTTTTGCTCGGTATGTAGGTTCATTTTAACCCATAAATCCGATAGGTTAGTTTTTTTGGCTTACCCTAATATATATATATATATATATTTTATGCATCCAACATATATTTTGTTAAATATTCTAATATATAATATTATATATACATATATACATAATTATATTATAATTAATAATAATCCTATTTACTTCTCTAACAGCTGTTAAAGTAACAAAGGTCCATTATTATCACGTTCTGCCTCAAAATAGCGTATTAAGGATGATACCAACTCTTGACTTCGACTATTTAAATGCTTCGGCATTTTAAATATAGGAAAAACAAAAAACGATATAACAAACACAAAAACGGCAATGAAAACTTAAACGATATAAAATAACACAAACAACAAACAAAATAAACGAAATTACACAGGAATTAAACTAAATATTCAAAAACACAACTGACAGCTTCAAAACTCTAAAACGTCAATTTCTTTTTCTATGCGTCATTTTATTAAGCAAAATTTTAATCTAAACATGAAAACATTGCAATTGCTGCCAAGTAAAGTTGTTTAAAATGCATTAAAATATTCAATTACAGACTTTGTTTTATACATTTAGTGTTGATACCAGTGCGCTGTCAAACGCGTGTGTTACAAACGAGTGTTTTAAGAATAAAGCCGAAAATGTTAAAAAATTTAGATACAATAAATACACATTTTGGTAATGATTAACGTGAAAAGTGTAAAAATTTCAATTCAGTAAAAATCGTCAAAAAAATAAGTCGTCTAAATTTAAACAACATTTAGCATTATTAAAAATGTTGATTAAGAATTGTTTAAAGTCTCAACGGTAAAATACCATTATATTATGTATTATATATAATATTATGTTGCCATGAATGGGGTAGTTAAATTTTTTCTGACCTATACTTTTTATGGTTTTATTCAAGGCGTTTTGTAATTTTAAACATTTCTGTGAAATCGGAATTTTAATTGAGTTTACCGTTTTCGAGATATTTACAAAAAAAAATCTCCTAATTACGTCACTAGGCTATTGACAACGTTGCCAGCTTTTTCTATGGTTGCCAGTGTGTTTAGTTTAAGATTCTTACGATAGATGGCGCCACGTTATAATATTTTAGTTTTAAAACCACTTGATCTATAATTTTAGTTGAGAAGAAGAAGAATTGATTTTTTGACGTTTCTTTTTTTCGGGTTCTGTTTTTTTTTAAATTTAGATTATTGAAAATCAATGTTATTGTTATGTTATTTGTAATTGATATTAGATAAGTGATTTATTAATAACGGACTCCAAAGCAGAGGAATCTTGTGGAATGGTTGGTTACATTGAACATTGGAGCTTTTAAACAAATAAAGTAAGTACCTATAATTATAATCATATTTTGTCGTAAATGCATTTCATTGGTATAATGCCTAGTTCTTTATATTCTTTTAGATATATCTTGGACTCTAAAATATCAAACAAGGAAGATAGGTACTTATTAAGTACTATCTACTTAATGAATTTGGTGACCATCTTTCACTCAACTGACAGTGACAGTATTTGTACATAACTCTTCGGGTATTTTCTGACATAACCGAATGAAATCATTAACAAGACAACTTGACAACAGGGTAATTTTTAACCAATAGAAATCTTAGAATGTTGGTCACATGGCGAGGTTTGTGACGTCATAAAAATTTATATTTTTTGTAAATATCTCGAAAACGGTAAACTCAATTGAAATTCTGATTTCACAGAAATGTTTAATATTACAAAAGGCCTTGAATAAAATCATAAAAAGTATAGGTCAGAAAAAATTTAACTACCCCATTCGTAGGTATATTTTGTTGTTTAAAATGCAGTTGTCTGCGTTTTTTAGAGAACTCAAATATAAAAATGGTTGATTTTAAGGTTATGGTTAGGTTACACACTAACGTAACTATATAAGCATTTAAGCGTTGAATTTCTTAATGATATAAACCAGTTTTTTATGTACAGTTCATGCTTTAAATGTATTGTTGACAATTCAGCAATAATGCTATTGAAGTCCACCAGATGGCGCGGCGCGCACGTTGCGAAAACCCGATACTTCTTTAGCGGATATTCTTATGCTGTGCTAAAATGACAAGCTAGAATAATGGAAAGCTGAAATTAAAACAAGTCTAAATGACAATAAGCCTTAATAATGAAAAGCCAAATGATGACAAGCAAACAAACCGCAATAAATCAATTAAAAGGTAGGTATTATAATTATATATAAATAATTTCTTAAATCTTTATTAATATAATTTATTTATGTAATTAAGTAAAGTAATTAGCATAATTTTAATAATTATAGTACTTTATTATATAAATATTTTTTATTAACCATCCCAGGTAACAATTGCGTGATATTCACGAGTTATGAACGTCCCATCTCGGTGTAACCTGAGAATTTGCAGGCTCAGCAGTAAAGATAATAAAACAAAGGTAAAACATAATAAGATTGTCTTTATGTAATTCATACTTGAACAATAAAGTCCCTGTGTAAAAAAATATTTGTTTTTAAAACCCTTTTCTTGGTACCGGAAACAAAAGTGGCGCAGTCGGTAGGCTAGTGAAGGGTTGATTTTAGTTAACTATAATCGGCAACGAAAAGTTCGTGTGCGAATCCCGTTCGTCTTACGATTAATTCACTAGTTAAAATCGTGTTCCCATAGTGGTAAAAAACAGACTACACAGCTCAGGGTGAGAACAAAAATCGTCAACCCCTGAAACCCTGGTGGAGAAGTAAGAAGACCTGGGGAAAGAACAAATTCTTCGGAACTTATAGGCAACTAGATAAGGATGAAAACAATATTAATAATACTATAAGTGCTCAATCCATTTTGATTCCTTTTTCCCATTGTTGTTCTACTTAAATGGTAGCTTTTAAGTAATTTAATTTTATTTTAATGAGCGATTCTGATATAGAAAACTTAATCAGAATCCGACTCAGAAATATTAACATTAAACAATAGCAACATAATGACTACAAATAATACTAATTATCAGTTAATTCGTTTATTCTTGGAATCCATTCCAAATTATGAGGAAAACCCTCAAACATTAGGTATTTTTATAAACACTTGCGATAAATTCATTAGTACTTTTGCAACATAGAATTTAACCGATGGTTTAAACGATTTTCTTTTAAGAGCTGTAATTGCCAAATTGACAGGTAGAGCGCTCGACTTAATTGGCTCTCGTATATAAAAACAGTGCTTCAATTAAGTTTGGAAGACCAACGCGATATTGATTGTTTGATTCAGGATTTAATAACTCTTAAACCTGCGAAAAATAAAACCCCTTATAATTTCGGGATGCGATGTCAAGACGCTAGAATTCTTTTAGTCGCTAAAATAAATTCATTATCCGATAAAACTAACGCAGAAAAAATAATTCAAATAAAACAATTTGATGACTTTTTGTATTCTACCCAAAAAATAAACTCTATATTAAGTATTAACTCAAACATCTTTTAGACCTATTAATCGAATGGCACCTGTTAGACCAAATAATTACCCAAGGCCTCAACCAAGACATCACCCACCAAATTCTTACACATCACACCCACGACCTAGTTTTCAACCTTTATTTCAAAATCAAAACCCTAATTCTCATATTTTTAGACAAAACTGGCAGCCAATTAACATTTTTCCCAACAAACCACAGCAACCATTTTCGCATCAAAATCAATTCAATAAACCCCATTAATTACATAATTTTAACCAACGTTCTATACGAAATAATTTTAATTCAAATAATTCTAATAGAAATTTTACACCTGAACCAATGGACAATTCGTCCGGAAATACCCTGTTACATCCCCAATCAATTCAATTTAAAATTACCAAGAATATTTTGCTCACAAAAACGAAATTATTCCAGACGATTACGAATATATGCCACATCTTATGATATTTATGCTTACCCAATCAATTTTAACGAAAATCAAAATTTTAATGAATACAATTATGATAACTCTAATCAAAACCAATCGCAGCCAGGTCAGAAATTCCAAAATCCGGAAACAGATCAAGAAATTCTAAATCCAGAAACATCAAATTTTTTGCAAAATTTCCAACCCCATCAATCTAATGTAATACAGTCAAATAACAAAAAATAATTTCCCCCTATCTTTATTCCGGAACTAAACGCAAATTTTTTAATTGACACAGAAAGTAGTAAAAGTTTAATGAACTTGCGTATAAATTGTATTAACCTTATATTTTTAGAAAAAAATTTCATATCTAATCAGCCCATAACATAAGTTATCATGACGAAGTTATAATTATACCAATTTTTAAATTATTTAATATAAATGAAACACATAAGTTTTATCTTTTAAAAGTCAGAAATATGACAGCATC